ATACTAGAAGATGTCCACTATCACTTGCAGGGCCCTGGAGTGAACTTCAGGGCAGGATAGACTTATTATCCACAACAACGGATACTGCCAATGTGGGAATGCAAGAGCACCACCTCCTCAGAATCTGGGCCAAGCAGCCTGTGTTGGGGGCTCCTGGTCTAGGCTTTGCTCCACTGTGGGCACCAATGGGTGTGTTCTTGCCATGATATTCCACTGGCAGTGCCTAATGCCATAAGGTGAATCATTAAAAAAACAGTTTGGTCAGGAGCTGGGCTGGGCCCCACCCTGTACAGCCCATCTGCCTGGTGACACTGAGATGATGCCCAGGGGCCTGCTGTTGATGGGGAAGCAGCATGTGCCTATTTCCCTGGTTCCAATTTTGTGTCCCCACCTCTGCCCCCAGGGTGTGGCCCTTCCCCTGGTGCCATGACAGCCCATGTGGGCACAGTGCCAGGCTCCAAGTAGCACAGGCTCTGTTATTCTCCCTACCCCTTAAGGGCTCTCACCTTCCCCTTGAAAGAAGCCCCACCCAACCCTGTTGATTTTGAGAGGCTGTCCTCATCCATGGCCCTCTGTTAAAAGATGGGGGTGAGGGGCACTACTCAGGCCTGGAAACCCCCCCCCCAACACACACACATAACCAAGGTTGGCCTGGTTTCCTCCATTCTCTCTCACCAAACTGGATACAGCTCTTGCTAACCTTTCACTCTCTCTGAGGCTTATGTAAATTCTCTTCTGCCTCCCCCTAGGCCAGTGAAGATGGTGAGAGTGTAGGGAACTGTCCCTTCTGCCATCGTCTCTTCATGATCCTGCTACTCAAAGATGTCCCCTTCACTCTCACCACTGTTGACACCAAGAGGTAAAGATTGAATGTCTGGTTGGAACCTGGGGTGAGAAAAACTACACCCCACCCTTCCCTCCAGCATAGTCTATTTCTGCCTGAAGCTACCTGCCCTGTGCCCTGATCCCCATCATGCTTACTTTCCCTGTGCCAAAGATTTGGCCCTACCCCATTACAGGTCCTTGGATGTGCTGAAGGACTTTGCCCCTGGCTCCCAGCTGCCCATTCTGCTATATGATGGGGAAGCCAAGACAGATACCATCCAGATTGAAGAGTTCCTGGAAGAGACACTGGGGCCACCCAAGTAAGAGCCTGAGTGGTGGGTGTGAGGGCACAGCCAGGAAGCAGGCCCAATGAGCAGCAGTGGTCAGAGGTTTAGAGTTGGATGGACTTAATTGATCATATAGTCTGACCCACTTCTCTTAGAGAAGTAAACCCAGGGGTCAGCAAGGAGAAGAGACTTACCCAAGGTCACATGGGTGGTTAGTAGGAGAGCCTGAATTTGAATAAAGGTCCCCTGTATTCTTTACTTTATAGTGTGCTACTTTCTACTCAATGCCCCACTGCTGGTTTCCTCATATCTACTCTCAGGGAAGGATCTGATCTTCTTTTTCCAAGGCAGGTTCTTTACTGAGGACAGCATTGAGTCACCCTCTAATTATGCCAACGGGGTCTTATCCTTTAATAAGGGACAAAGCCTTTAGTCAAGGAAGATAGCTAGATTCCCCTTGGGGAATCCCAAGGGAGGAGTCATAGGCATTGGCAGTAGGTGAGGGAGGTATGTTTTGGAGAGGTGAGAGGGAGATTTCCCATGCTCCCCCATGTCTGAATGGGAAATCTAAATGGGAAAATGGAAATTGCTTGTTGGATGACCCCAAGCAGGACCAGGGGGCTAGGGGCAATTCTTACCTTCCTCAGGAATTTGTTTTCTCTAGTTTTCTTCTGTGGCTAAAGGGAAGGGCAGGGTAAGGGAATAAGAATTTATATAGCACCTACTATGTGCCAGGCATCATGCTAAGTGCTTTACAAATAACGTAGGCAGCATAAAGGGAGGAGGGGAGTGTGCCTGAGATTTTATAACAGGGGATGCTGATGAGAGAAAGGGAGAGAGAACCACCCCCCAACCAAGTGAGAGTGCCCATGACCCCAGGCCCCAACCATGGGTCTCCCATTTGTCTCCTGACCCTGTCTTTATCCTTCAGCTTCCCCAGCCTGGTTCCTCAATATAAGGAATCTAACATAGCCGGTAATGATGTATTCCACAAATTCTCGGCTTTCATCAAAAACGCTTCTCCTGCTCAGGATGAAGGTGAGTCTTCAGGCTGGGCAGACTGTGTCCTGGGGTAGGATAGGCTGTGCCCAGGTGGGTCAGGATATGTCCTGGGGTGTGAGTCCAGCACATTCATTCCACCAACACTGAAGTGCCTGCTGCTTGTCACTGCCTTTGCTGACTGATAGTGTAGGTACAAGGATATAAGATACATGTACAGGCCTACTACTATGTAATACATGTATTACAGAGGTGCAGGACAAAGCTCTGTGAGACCCTGGGGGAGCTTGTAATTGACTTGTGAGTATCAGGAAAGGTTTCTTCATGGAGGAAGTAGCATTTAAGCTGGGCTTGAAGGATAGATGGGATATCTGATGAGGAAGAAAGGGAATCCATCCATAAGGAACACTGAGAAAAGGCAGAGGTGGGAAGGCACGTCAGGCTTTGATGAGGCAGTGTAGAACCCTTTGACTGGAGCATGTGTGGAGATGAGGAATGAGATAAGACAGGGAAGGTAGGGCTCTGCCAGGTTTTGGAAGGCCTTGAATGCCAGAGAGAAGAGAATTATCTTTAATCAGGATACAATATAGAGCCACTGATGATTTCTGAGCAGAGTGGTTACATGACCAGATGTATGTTTGGTTCTAGCAGTACTGATGAGGGTGGGGGGGTGAGGTGGAGAAGACAATAACGGAGACTATTGCAATAGTCCAGATGGGTGGTAATGAGGTTGAATGGGGAGCTTATGTCCAATTCTCCTCCCCCAACCCCACCCCCACCCCCAATCCCTTGCTTGCTGCTCCAGCCTTGTATCGACCCCTGCTTCGAGCCCTGGTGAAACTGGATCTATATCTGACCACACCCCTGGAGCATGAGCTGACCCAGGACCCGAAGCTCACTAAATCCAAGCGTCGCTTCTTAGATGGCGATGACCTCACCTTGGCGGATTGCAAACTCCTGCCTAAGCTGCACATTGTCAATGTGAGGGGGCCGGGGGAGGAAGGGGTGGGGAGGTTTGAGAGACTGAGGGGGAGTGGGGGGAGTGGGAGGGGAGGCAAAAATAGAAGGGCTGGGTTGGAACCACTGCAAAGCCTTGGGAGGGTGTTTAGGTTCTCTGCCCACTGGGCAGACTGTGTCAATGACTACCCTCCTCCGCCTACTGCAGACCGTGTGCACCCATTATCGACAGACACCCATCCCTGGTGAGCTCCGTGGGCTCCACCGATACCTGGAAAATGCACTGCAGATGAAGGAGTTCAAGTACACCTGTCCACAAAGCTCTGAGATCCTGGCTGCCTACGCATCCGTGGCTCGGGCTCGAGCTCGCTGAACACTCAGAATCCACCCAATTTGGCTCTCACCTACTGTTCCACTTCGCCTCCCTACACCAGCCTCAGGCACATAGACTCGCTCATTCATCACCCCTCTGCGAGCACTCAGCGTACACCCCCTCCACTATTTCATGCTTTTCTTCTAAATCGCACTGAAGTCACCCCTTCTAGGATTTCCTCTCTGCTCCTCCGGGACTGACCTTCCTCACTTCTGCACTCCTGTGATGGTTTAGACTGTTAATTTGCTTCAAAGTAGTGCCCATAAACATACTCTTTGGTCTCATCTGTGCCCAGGTGTGACTCATTTTCCTGAGGGCCAGAGATGTGAACAGGCCCCAGTTGCCTGATGACAGCCTCCACCCTCATCTCTTACTTGACTCCAGATCTGGCCCCCATAATCTTTGGGCCATTCCTTTCCACTCACAGTGACCTCTGATCCTACCTTCCACTCGGGCCCTCCCCGTGATACCTCAGGATGGCACATACCATACCAAACACCTGTCATCCCAGGACTAACATCAGATTTGACATCAAGCCACCAGGGTGGGGCTTATACAGGCTTCCTCCCATACACAGAGGGATATGAAAGCTCAGCCCCTTTGTAGCTGTGCCCAGGGACTCAACTGCTCCTCAAACCAGTTGGGCTGGAGTGAGAACAGCAGGAAAGGTCTAGATAGGCAAGGTGAGAGGGCAGGGCTGGGAGGCCACCTCCCTGAGCTGGGTGGGAAAAAGAGTAAGGCTGTGATTGTTTCCAGCCAGCTTGACCACATTCCCTGGCTCCTTTCTCCCAATCCCATCAGTTAAACCAGCTTCTGCCTTCTAATCACCAACCCACCTTTTGCCTTTCCTGCCTGCCCTCCTCCCCCCATCCCCTGCTTCCAGCATTTCTGGGGCTCTGGGAAGTACCTACCTGGGTACATCTGTATTTCTGTATTGACTGTGTGTCAGGCAATGTACTATTAGATTTATAATCAGAAGAGTTAGGTTCAAATTCTGGCTCAGACACTTAATTGCTGTGTGTGTGTGTGTGTGTGTGTGTGTGTGTGTGTGTGTGTGACTGGTTCTGTCACTGCTACTAAAATCAGAACACAGGTTCAAATCTTGGCTTGGACATTTAATAGTTTTATGTCTCTGGTCACTTCAAAGGCTCTTTGAGCCTTGGTTTACTCATCTGTAAAATAAGGATAATACTTCTACTACTTACAAAACTGGGCTGTTGTGAGGAAAGCATATCATAACCTTAAAGCAATATAGAAATGTCAGCCATTATTGTAAATGCAAATTGTTTCTGTCAACATATTTGTGTATCTGAAACTACAGACTGTACAATATTTGTACGACTATCTATACACATATCTCTGTACATCTATATATCTGTGTGAATATGTGTCTATATGCCTATCCATCCATATGTGTCTGTGTATGTAGCACATCTGATTGGTGGCTAAAATCCTTTTCTGATTTGGGGAAATGTGGGGCCACCTTTGCAGACTTTTTAACCTCCAGTGCAAAGATCCCATCTCTCTATGGGATCCAGGCCAAGGTGAGACAGCTTAGATAGGGGACAGGAAGCGAAGGAGCCTTTATTAAACCTATACTTACTATGTGCCAGGCACTATGCTAAGTGCTTTATGAATATTATCTCACTTGATATTTGTGATAGGGCAAACATTTTACCTGATCCCAGGGTGTGAGACCCTCATGAGTGATTCACCCTGGTCAAACTAGGTCTGCCCCACCTTTCACCCCACCCCACCCCTGAAACCTGTAGGGAAAGAGAGGGAGCCGCCTTCACAAAGTAATTTGGCCTGGTTGGAGGTTTGAGCTGACACAATCTGTTTACATATTTCAGCCCCCACCCCTAGAGCAACCCTGTACCAGGGAACCAGCCTTCTCCCTAAGTTTGGGGTGGGGGGGAGGTGGTCTAAGGATCTCCCAGCCCACTCCCTAGACTGAGATAAGTCTAAGGAAAGTCTGAGTGTTCCACATAGTAGACAATAAATATTTGTGTATTTACTTTGCTTTGCAAAATAGAGAGCATCAGGGAGCCAGCTGTCACAGACTTAATGAATCACTCACTCCCCTGGACAGGGCCAACTTGGCCTTTCCTCCTGCTTCAGCCTGGGCTCTGAGGTCCATCAGTTTCCTTAGAGCCCTGTAACTCCTCAAATCCTCATTCCCCAGGAGGCAGGAGACTCACACAGGAGTTACTATGTCAGGTATCATCGAAGTTCACTCCACTGGCTGGCTTCTTACTGCAAGGACAGAAAGATATTGGAGACAGTGAAGAAGCTGTGTCTGTGTTAGGGTGGGGGAAGGGAAGGTCCCTTACCCATGGAAAGGAAGACGAGGACCTGAAATCTATGCTGGGGAGATAGGAAGGAGAGGGGCAGACAGGTGGTACCTCTTGAAGCCAGGATTGATGATCGATTCTCCTGGCATCCATTTCCTGATCAAAGGGCCTGGAGCACCTCTTCCAGAATCTGGATCTAGGGTTTTTTGTAAAAAGTTTACCTAAGCTGGCTCATTCCCCTGTCCCCATGACCACAAATGGTCACATCCTTCAGTCCCCCTCCCACATCCAAGATGGATTCCCTGAGGGAATCATCTACCCCACATGAGACTTCCTGATATGGGGTAAGATATGGGCACAAGGCTGGACTTCAACCTCTTTATCAAATAAACCAAGGCCAGAGAGGGTCAGAAACATGCCTGGGGGGCACAGCAAGTCAGCTTGTTATATGGGAGCCCTGCCCATATCCTTCACCCTTCCTCCTCTCAGGCTGTTTCCTACCTGGCAAAAACAGCTGCTGCCCGCCTGACTGGGGTTTCTTTCTGGGGCTGGGGGTCTCATCCTTCAAAGCTGAGAAAAGAGGTAAGCATTCGGTTGGGGTCACCCAGGGGCTTTTACTTCATGTTCCAGCTTTTGCTGCCATCACTCAGTCCAGGCATGTCTGGAGCACAATATCCTTGGATGAGTCACAGAATCAGAATCTAAGCTATGAGGCACTCCAGTGGTTATCCTGTCCAGCCAGTCCTTGAACGGGAAGCTTCTCTACAATATTCCTGACCAGTGGCTAGCCAGTCTCTACCTTTTAGAACTTTCAGTGACAGGGAACCCACTAGGTCCCAAGGCAGCCCATTCCACTTTGGAACAATTCTAACTGCAGGAAATTTCCCCATACATGAAGCTTAAATCCTTACCCATTGACCTCTAGGGTTAACAAGTCGAACAAACTTTCACTCATGACAACTCTATAAATACCTGGGGCTGCAAGGCCCAGGGCTAATGCTAACACCTGGCCAGAGTTGTGCCCAGGCCCTGTGCCTTTCCTAGGAGAGAGCACCAGAGGCCCAATGTTTGGTGACTGACTGCCAGGGACATCAGGGTCTGCTGTACCTGCCAGCTGCCTTTCCAATCTGCATACTTGCTCTGCCAACCTCAGCATCAATGCCTGGAGTCGTGGGGCTGCGTCAGGGCTGGGCACCTTAGAAAGGTTAAAAGTCAGGGTTTCTGCTTCCCTGGAGATAGTCAGGTGAACGCTGCTGTCATCTTTCAAGGTCAAAGATACTGCGTGCTGGTCACAGGCAACCCTACGGATTGGGAGGGGGAAGGGTTCAATGTTGTTTCTTGGGCAACCAGGACCCTGGCTTTATCTCCCCAAGGAATCTCACCTGAACCAAGCTGAATAGTCCTCAGCACCATCCAGACCATGCTGGGCTTTCTGTGGGATAAGATAAAATGCCTGGTCAACCACATCTAGGGACCCTTCCGACCCACTGCTTAAACCTTTCAAAGGGTGGGGATGAGGGTGGGGGGGTGGGGTAGAGACGTAGAGGTCGTACACCCAGTTTGCTGTGGCATTGGGGATGTGCAGAATGAAGATGTAGAAACAGCAAACCCGGCGTGGAGGCATCGGGGTGGGGGTGTGCAGAATGGAGACATAAGAGTTGAGCACCCAGTTCGGTGTGGGATCAGAGTGGTTGCCCAGGGTATGAAAATGGAGTGAAAGAAACATAGCTTATTAGGATGGTATTCTGCAGGGAACACGGGGCAGAGCTCAGGGCACCCATCGCGTCACCCACATGTTTCTCCAAGGTCTCCGGGGTGAAGCTGGTGTTCCAGAGCTCCAGGGCATCAGTTACACTGCGGGACAGGAAGGAGGGTCAGGCTGCATCCAGATGAGGGTGCCCATGTTCTCTGTATCCCGACCCAATCCCAGCTCGGCCTGCGCTCCCTCCCCCTGGGGCATGCACCGGGGTCCACTGGCGGAAGGGGCCGGGAGCACAAAGCTCCGCGATCGCGCCGGCGCGAATTGCGGGAGGCGGGCGCTAGGAGGACTGTAGCCTTGCGAGCGCCTGCCCGCCCGCCCCACTTCCAGCCGGCTTAGCGCCCGGCCCGTATGCACTCACTAGATGTTGAAAGCGCAGGTCTGTCCAGGCTCAGGGTCCAACCCCGGCCCCTCGGGGCCCTCGCAGTAGCACACGTAGCAGGGCGGTCCCTGCCCGGAGCCAGCAGGCACGATGCATAGGGAGCCCGGCGCAACAGGCCGCTGCATTGCAGGAGCTGGGAGCCGGGGCGGCGGGTCTCCGGAGGAACAGCCCGCGGAGCCAGTTCCAGCCCCGGAACGGGCGGAGCTCCGGGGCATCCTCACCCGAAGGACGCCTGTCTGCCCTTGTCTTGTCCGGATAGAAACCAAACTGCTGAGTGGAGGAATAAAGCACCTTTAATCAGATAACAGGATAGCAAGCCTGTCAGCGTGGGGAATGTCCCACCAGGAGACCCACAGGAAAAGATTCTTAAACTTTTAGGAGAAATGGGGGAGGGAGTCACAGTAGCTAGTGCGGCCAGGTCATGGGATGCCAGCTGCCCTCGGCAATCCGAGCAAGGAAAACCACTTCATTCTGGCTGTTTTGCCCTTAGTGCCGTGAATTCCAAGAAACGGGGCGAAGACCTTAGAAGCTGAGATACATCTCAAGCCAGGTTCCTTAAAATCCGGGGGACTTAAGGTGTAGTTCAGCTCAATCTAATCGAGAGTAAATATCTTAAGAGTAGGAATGCAGGGACATTACTGAAATTCTAACATTGCCAGGGTGATTTAAGAAGAATGGTAGGTTACATTACATATCACGCTAGCAATTTTTCTGTCACCTTATATCCTCCTGCAGTAAATATTATTTGTAATTTGTAATTTATTGTTTAAAAAGTGTTATTGACATATTTTGTTTTGGCATCACTTATATTTCCTGGAGTAGCCTTTCTCCCTCCTGCCTCACGGGACCTCATACCAAAAAAATAAAAGAGGGAAAAAAAGTTAAGTGAAAGTCTGACAATATATACCATGTTACCCATAGTCCTCTCCCTCTTACAGCCTATCATTTATTTCTTTTGTTGTAACTTTCTTTTCAGTTCTAAATCTCTCCTTCTCACCTTTCCCTCCCCACCCATTGAGAAAGCAAGAAAAACAAAACTTAGAAATGAGTGTGGTAAAAAAAAACAAATTCCTGTATTAGCCACAACATAAATTTTTAAAAACCTAGGGTAAAACTGGTTTCATGATTTGAAAACAAAACCAAACCCTGATTTCAAGCATGAAAACTTTAAGACCTACCTTCTTTTCTTCTAAACTGTTTTCTAAAGTTGTGAAGTAGGCAGTTGTCTTTGTCTCCTACCTCCTCTCTTCCCTTGGCCACAGTCTTCTCTCCTTCCTGGGATTCTGTATCCCATTCTTTTTTTTTCTTTCTTATTTTTGGGGGAGGGGTGAGGCACTTAGGGTTAAGTGACTTGCCCAGGGTCACACAGCTAGTTAAGTGTCAAGTGTCTGAGGCCAGATTTGAACTCAAGTCCTCCTAACTCCAAGCCCAGAATGCTATGCACTGCACTACCTAGCTGCCACTCTGTATCCCATTCTTTTGGAGCCTTATGCTCAATTTGAGTAAGCATTTGGGACCTCAAAGTGCTATGCTCTCGACCAGGTGCTGAGGGAAGCATCCTCTGCCTTTGTTGTTGTTCAGTCATGTCCAACTTTTTGTGACTCCATTTGGAGTTTTCTTGACAAAAATAGTTTGCCATTTCCTTCTCCAGTTCATTTTACAGATGAGAAAACTCTGGCAAACAGGGTTAAATGACTTGCCCAGGGTTACACAGCTAGTAAGTGTTAAGTGTCTGAGGCTGGATTTGAACTCAGGTCCTCCTGATTCCAAAGCTGATGCTCTATCCACTGCACCACCTAGCTGCCCCTTTAAAATTCTTACTGGGGAGTGGGGGACAATTCTGGGTTGGGACTCCAAGTGTGTAAACTCAATGAAGATACCAGGACCAAAGGCAACTTGTCTTTCTTTGTAGTATGATCTACCTCCACTTATAGCTTGCTAGGCCTACAAGACCTAATTTTCCTCAGGCTGAAATTTCAGCCCTAGTCACAGAGAGGTAAATAGCACCATCTCAGGTCACTGAAGCGCAGGAAGAAGGCTGTTAGACTGAAATACAGCCCCAGAGGAAACTGAGATGACCTTAGTGAAATGATGTCAAGGGAAGAGATCAGAATGAGGAGAATAATTTATACAATGACAACATTGTAAGGAAAAACAACTCTACAAGACTTTAGAACTCTCATCAGTACAATGCCAAGCAGTAAGCCCTGAGGTACTCTAGACTGCTCCTTGGTGCAGTGAGGTAGATATCATGGATCATGTCCTCCCCTCCCAGTCACAAAGCTCTGGGAACAAGGAGAATGAATGCCTTAGTTCTATGGCCTGCCACGGACAAAGAGGATATACTATGCTCATTTGGGAGTGGGTTGAGTGGTTCTTCAAGGGAGTGGAAGATTTTGTGGGTATCCAGAAACCCAAGGGGACACGTGGTACCCTGGCACCAGTGGGATTGGTTCCCTTCTTGAGCCTTGAGTCTTTGATCCTCTAGGGAATATCCCTCCGAGGTCAGGACACAAGGGAACTCTACAGAGCTCCGTGTCTGTCATGGGTTAAAATCTTGGGGGAATCTCATTATGGGAGTCAAGGGAAATGTCTTTTTATCTTTGTCCCAAGCAGAGAGGTTCATGTCCTCTGTTTACACCATCATAGTTGTATGCTGTCCCTCCACGATGACTTCCTGAGTGATGTCAGTGCCATATTCCCCTTCTTCTGCATCTCATCCTTCTCTGGGGTCACAGAGGATGAAGACATAGGATCGTGTTTATATAATAAACAATGATTGAGGGGATGAGGCTGCATGGCCAGGGACTGCAGCACCAGCTCTGATCTCCACTTACAACCATTAGGCTTACCAGGGCCTGGAGAAGAGAGAACTTAACAGAGAACGTGCTGGCAGTCTTCAATTGTTTTGAGAGTGTGGGAGGAAGAGAGGTTTGTTAGGCTCACTTTGCTTGGCCCCTCGGGGCAGAACTGGGCAGTGGTTGCTGATAGCCCTAATTTGCCCATTTGATTAAAAAGGGGTGGGGGAGGAAGGGCATCGAGGTGACACAGTAGACAGAGCACAGGTCCTGGAGTCAGGAGAACCGAGTTCAAATCCGGCCTCAGACACATAACACTCACTAGCTGTGTGACTCTGGGCAAGTCACTTAACCCCAAATGCCTCACCAAAAAAAAAGAAAAAATGTCAATAAAAAAGGGGTGGGGAGGAGGGAAGGAAAAGACCTATATAGTACAAAGATGTTTATAGCAGTTTTAATGCAGTAGCAAGTAGCTGAAAGCTAAGGGGTGCCCATTAACTGGAGAATGGCTGAATAAATTATGGCATCTGAATATAATGGAATATTACTGTGCCATAAGAAATGATGAAAGAGACAGTTTCAGAGAAACCTGGAAGTCTGTGTGAATTAATGCAGAGGGAAGCGAGTACAACCAAGAAAACAATACAATAGCGACAACATTGTAATCATGAAGGATCTTGGAAAAGCTTAAGAAAGCTCTGATGAACACAGTAATCATGCAAAGGACCTATAATGAAGAGTGTTCCTCATCAGCAGACAGAGAAGTGGTGAGTCTGACATGACTGAAATGACTTAACAACAAATGTGGGAGTTTTGTTTGACTATGCGGATTTGTTACAAGTGTTGGGTTTTTTCTTTCTTTTCTTTCCAGTAGGGATGGAAAGTGATAGAGAGAGAAAATAAATGCTTGTTAATTAAAAGAAAATTATTTTTGAAAAAAATTAGAGCTATCCCAAAGTGGAAAGGGCTGCCCTAAGAGGTGGTGGGTTCCCTTTTGCTGGAGGTCTTTAAGCAGAGACTGGGGATGACCAGGTGTTAGGTCACAGGGGGTGGGGAACCTGCAGCCTCGAGGCCACACGGGCCTTCCAGGTCCTCAAGTGTGGCTCTTTGACTAAATCCAAATTTCACAGAACAAATTCCCTTAATAAAAGTATTTGTTCTGTAAAACTTGGACTCAGTCAAAGGGCGGTACCCAAGGACCTAGAAGTCCACATGTGGCCTCAAGGCTGCACGTTCCCTACCCTATGTTAGGAGATTGTAGAAAGGATTCTTGAAGCAAAAACAGGTCCAATGAGATGTTCTCTGAGGTCCCTTTCACCCCTAAAATTGTAAGGTGAGGGGGAGGTGCACAAATAACTAGAATACAAATTAGGTAATATATGCAAGGGATGGGGAAGCTAGGAGGTGAAGCTGATAGAATGCTGGGCCTGGAGTCAGAAAGACATGGCCTCAGACACTCACTAGCTGTATAACCTAGGGCAAGTCCCTTAATCCTGCTTTTCTCAGTTTTCTCATCTGTAAAATGAGCTGGAGAAGAAAATGGTAAAACAATATTTTTGCCAAGAAAACCCCAAATGGAGTCATGGAGTCAGACACAACTGAAATAACTGAACAAAAAAAAAATGCAAGGGATAGGTCCGTATAAAGTGCCATGAGAAGTTTGAAAACGAGATCACGTTCAGTTGTGGTGATCAGAGAAGGCTTTATGGAAAGAGTGTTATAACTGTATTATGTGAACTAAACTTAAGGGAGAGGAGGAATTTAAAAGATAGAAATGGGATGGGAATAGGTAGCCTACACTAGGTATGGAAGGGGTGGCATTATCAAATGCTTAGATGAGAAGGGGGGGGATAAGGGACAAGTAATCCATTTAGCTGGAATGGAGAAACCAGGAGAGAACGGTATGAAATAACTGGGAAGATACGTTGGAGTTAGACTATGGAGGGCCTTGAATGCCGGACTAAAGAGTTTGTATGTTATTGGTGCTCACTGGGGAGCTACTCAAAATTTTGAGCAGGGTTGTTACACAACCAAAGTGGGGATTATGAAGAGAAAGTCGGTGGTGGTGTGTATATAGATTTGGAGAGGAAGGGAAAAAGGAGTGTGGTTCATGAGAGCAAACCCCAGACTTCAAAATAGTTCTGGATAGAAATTTATTAGGTCTTTTGGTAGAGAGTTCAAACAATATTAATAAATGACAAATAATAATCCATCGGAGGCAAAGAGACTAGTCAACTGGCTATTAGAGTAGCCCAAAGGAGAGATGATAAGAACCTGAATTGACCTTGGATAGTGAGGTGGAAGGGGAGAAGAAGAACAAATCTGAGAGATCATCCCATTCTGAAAT